TGTGTTCACACACGCACATATACACATCCTTCAGGTATTTCCTGTTTTGTCATTTTCTGGACATTTGTCTCTTTCTACTGCTTTGGACTCTTTAATCACTGGATAGGAAGAAGGAATTATAGCCCTATCAAATTCACATCCAAAGCTCTTGCAAGTCACTAGTACCCACATGCAGAAATACAAGAGAGGGTTCAGATGAGTCTAAGTCATAACTCATAACCTAGAATAGAGGTCAGCAGACTTTTTTCTGTAAAGTGCCAAGTAGTAAATACTTTAGGATATGCAGGGCACATATGAGACTCTGGCTGTCTTTTTTTTTTTTTTTTTTTTTTTTTTTCTAATAATGCTTTAAAAATTTAAATTCTTAGCCTATAGGCCATAGTTTGCCAATACTTATCCTAAAGCTAAGAAAGATTCTTCTGTCCTGGTAGCAGTCTTGACACATATTGACAATTGTTCTCATTTCAATCCCATAACCAGGAAGGAAAAAATCTAAGAGAGCTACCCACTGAAATGGAATCTACTTTTGTTCTTTTATTTATATGATGAATACTTTTTAAAGGTAAAATAAATCAATTATATAAAATATATAGAAAAAATAAGCACTATAAGATTAAGTAAACTCAATTGCATTTAGTATTTTTCATAGTTATTACCATGCGTAACTGTTATTGCAAAGTACAACTTTGTATGTTGCTTTCTCATTCTGTATTATAGCCAAATAAAATTTTATGCTGCCATAGTTCCTATAGTCATTACTTGCGATAACTAATATGTTTATAGTGGATATACATTTTACTGTTTCTTTTATCTTTAGTTTGGTTTCCAAGTTTTGTAACAAGGAACTACTCTCAAGTGAATATTTTCATATCTTTACCTTTTATACCATATTCATTTTGGAGGGATAAACTTCTATAATTAAAACATACAGAATTGTTAACTACAGGAAAGAAAAGAACAAAATAATTGAAAAATTTTTTTCATATTTTTACCGAACAAAATAATTGAAAAAAGTTTTCATATTTTTACCAACCAAAACTCTTTTTAATAATCCATGCAATAATTTGAAAAGGATGTTTATGTTAATAGACATGACAGTATACACACACACATGCCCTCAAAGCTTCAAGGAAAACTCAGTGTTCAGCCTGCAATATTCTGAATCTTTGCAATTAATTTACCCCCCCCAAAATAATGAGAATAAAAACTTTAATAAAAATTAAAATATGCATCAAAATATTTGCAATTCAGGCAAAGCTATAAACAGAGGTAGTCTTAAATCCTTTACTAGAAAAGAAACAAAGCTTTGAAAATAAAAGGTCATAAAAAAAAGACAATGCTTAAAGAAAGCAGAAGGGACATAATGAATAAAGATAAAAATAGGGAACAACAAAAACAAAACTAGTTGGGATAATAAATCAAATCAGAGATTGCTTCTTAGAAAAAGTAAATCAGAAACATTAATAAAACTGTGACAAATCTAATGAAAGAGGAAATATACCTTAATATTAGAAATAAGAGAATTGGTCCTGAGTAGTGAAAATAATATTCTACCCCAAGTGGAGCTATGTTTACTTCAGGAAAGGGAGGTTTCTACCAGGAAAATTGTGAATGCAGCCGAATAAAACTTTGGGTTAGTAGAGAAAAAGTACATGATTGTCTCAACAGATGTTGTAAACTAGCCAATAAAACCAAACAATAATTCTCTTTAAAGATTCTAAAAATAAAAATAGAAGTTCTCCAAGTAACATACTCATTACTTTTAATGGTAAATCATTTCTCATTTAAAACCAAGAACAAGAAAGCCCATTAACTCCATCATACATATCATTGTTTAGAAGTTCTGGCCAATGCAATAAGACTAAAAATAAATCCTTTGCAAGAAGGCAAAGAGTTTACATAGTAGTACTAAATAAAAATTAAATAAAACTAAAAACATCATGTTATTGATATAAAGACAACATAGCAAAAATATTTTTTCACAAAACATTTTATTACTATAATTGCTATTTTACTTACAATTTTTGGCAACATTAACAAAAAAATAAATTTCATCTGAATGAATAAGCAAGCAAAATAGACAAGGAAATTCACAAAGGGCAATAACAAAATAGTAATCTTGACAGATATTCAATATATTTGTAAACAAAACAAAGTGACATTGCCATAAAAAAAATAGAAGTATCGATAGAAAAAGCAGAGAAAGCTCCTGAAAGAACTCTACTCACTATACTAATTTTCTTTTGGTTACAGGCACATAAATTGACTCAAGCTAGCTCAATGCTAAAAGAGAAGCAAAGCCCTTGATGATGATCTCTTCCCAGTTTTTTAATGAAAACCTAGGAAATTTTACTAGATTGGAGAGGGAAGAAAGGGGTAGGGAGAAGTAAAGTGCCTTTCAAGAGGAGAAGAAAGTAAGTTTAAAAAAAAAACAAAAGGTGGGGGGAAAGGGAGATTTCAGTGTCATTCTAAGAACCTTGATGAAATTCAATGAACCAAAGGAAAGTGTAAATTAGTGAGGTAGCAAGCTATGCAAGCCTAGGGTAAGAGCATTCTAAGAAAGAATAGCATGTGCAAAGTCTTTGGATTAGGAAAAAATGTGATTTGCTTAAGGAAAAGCAAGGCCAGTGTGTCAAAAATAGTGCATCAGTGGGGAACATGGTAGAGAGTGGTAGAGAGAAGGTAGGCAGAGGCCAGATTACTGGAACCTGTGGTTGGCAATAAATGACAATCTGTATTTCTTAGGAGCATGCTTTAGTGAAATGGCAAACATTACAGTGTTGATAATATTAAGCAATCACAAAAACATAGAACTAAAACGATATTTCATATTTTTACCATAGAAACAGAATAAAGGAGGTAAGTATGCAAAAGATTACAGATCTGTACACAGCAGGATTTTCCACCTGAGATCAGAACAAGTGGGACACACACACACACACACACACACACACACACACACACACTTTCTATGCCTAAAGAAAAAGTTCAGACTGAAATTTTAGCAAAGTACCTTGGTCCAAGAAAACTAATTGAAAGGACTAGTAAAATGTTCAAGGTGCAAATCAATCAAGCATCAAACAAATAAATACAACAGAATCAATGAATCTACAGTCAGGAAATTATCTAAAATGTGCACAATATACTCACAACTTCTGTGTTATCTGCAGTCCCTCCCCCCCTCCTTTTTTTTTGGATGGCTGGCCAGTACAGGAATATCAAACCCTGGACCTTGATGTTATCAGCACCATGGTGTAACTAACTGAGCTAACCAGCCAGGCCCATCCTCCCCAAGCCTTTGATGATAATCTCTTTTCAGCTTTTTGTGAAAGCTTAGGAAATTTAACTAGATTGAGGAAGGGAGAAAGAAGTGGGGAAAGATAAGGTACCTTTAAGAAAAAGGCAAGGAAAAAAGTAGACATTTCTCCAGACCTATGTCATCTATAGCCAGGATGTCAGACTCCTTGACTGGTGAACAGAGGCTGCTGGGCACCCGGGTCAGGGTGGAGAAACAAGGGATGGCACTATAACATGCCCAGGAAGACAACCCTGGGAACCCACAGAAGCAGTCAAAGCTGCTGATGTTCAGGAACCAATACTTAAAAGGGTATTCCACAGTTCTGTGAAATTATCCCTGGGGAGGGCAAGGAATAAAGGTACCCCCATACTACAGGTTAGAAAATAGGATAGATTAGATAAAGGATATTAACTCTAAGACTTAACACTTATTAAAATAAATGGGACGTTTCTGGCACACTAATGTGTCAAGTAAGACCAAAACAGTATTGGTGTGATAAATTAGGAAATGATACATACAAGAAAAGAGTAACTGTTAACCATAATACACTCATGCCCAAGGCAAGACAGAAAACTGAAAGCTTCACATTTTCAATTAGGGTAAGACACATGTGCACAGAAAAATATAAGAAAAAGCCCTGTATGGGTTTAATACTAGTCAGTCACCCTGGGCTATTTTTGTCCACTGTACCTACTGTTCTCAGACAAGCCCTCATTCCAGCTTAATAGTGGGAGAACTAAATTTAGTTCAGTCCATGAACTGAACAGATACCATTTGTTTGGCCCTTTTCAGTTAAAACTATGGGTCCAGTACAGTTCAAACTATGGATGTCAGGGTTCCTTTCCCTTGAGACATTTAACTTGCTTTACTGCTGTGACTGAGGGGGATATGGCCAGTTCATTCTCCACTAACAGCTTGTCATAAGGGAGAGGGGAGCGAATCTAATTTCCCTTTAAATCACTCAACAGGAAGTCTGCTAGCACCAGGCCCCAGTCATCTGAAGCCAATGATACACAGCAGCTGTTTGATGTCTGCAGGGGTCCCTCACCAAACTCAGGCATTTTACTTTGAATGGTTTTGCTTCCTTGAATGTTCATGGATTAGGTAAAGGCACTCCAAGACAGTTTTCCTTCTGCTTTGGCTCCAAGACCGCAGTGAATAAATGTGTGCCTATCCCTCAACTGGGACAAGGAGCCGCTGCTCTCCCTTGACTCACCTCCATCTTCCTGATCGCAATTCCTGGTATAGCTTCTCCCTCAACTACACACCCAGGCTTTCAAAACCAGGTTATTTTATACCAGCACAACAGAGGCACTTCTGGGACTTCAGCAGCAAATGGGCCAGGCCATAACAAAGCCATTCCAGTCTGACTAGAGTTAATAGCAAAATCTTTAAAACACGGAAAAAATTGAAAATAAAACTAAGTACTTCTAAATCTACAAATTCTATATAGAAAAGAGCTTTCACACTTAAGAGTAACATAAAACACCAAAAAAATAAATAAGTTTCCTTTTTCTCTCTCTCTCTCATACAAACACCTTTCATGTGTTAAGTCAGATAGTTAACATGAAAACCAGGTAATTTAAAATAACACCTAAGTTCAGATCAAACAATATTGCATATTATGAGGTTTTAAAAACTTATAATCCATTCGTTTTGCTATTTTTGGTACTATTAAATAATGTATGGTATGTATTTTTTATATTTATGGGGATTTTGATTTAAATTGATTGGTTTTGACTTGCTTCAGATTTACTGAAACTAAAATTAATGAGGGTTTTCTAAAGTCCCACTTTTAGTCCTGGGGGGTGATGGTTCCGAGTCAGATGTGCTCACAGTAATGGATGCTACTTCCACTGATCCTGGTTGAAGAGGTCCCACTGATACTTGAATAACAACTTTTGTTTCAGGAGGCAATCCTTCTAGTTGTGCAGGCTTCTTAAACATTTGATGACACAGGGTCTTGTGCTCCATTTTCTCCTTGAAAGTTAAAAACTGTAGCCGGCATTTAGAACAGTGGTGAACACTCTTTTCCCAGTGCCTCCTATAATGACTCATGTATGGTGTTGCAGTTTTGAAAATTTTGAGACAAAATGGACAAAGCAAATTCTTAGTGTTTTCATGGCACGTTCTAAAATGTGTTTCCACATCAGCAAAGGCCGACGATCTGTAACTGCAAGCCTGGCACACATAGGGCATTTCCCCAGGTTTATGATTGTCCTTCATGTGTTGTAAGAGAACCTGATCTGTTTCAAATGACAATTCACAGATTTTACAGACTGCAGAGGGCTCCTGGGTAGTGTGTACACTTTCAATGTGACATTGCAGCTGGAAAGGATTTGGAAACTGTCGGTGGCAGTGCTGGCAAGTGGTGTGGTTTTCCCAGCTGTCACTCTTCTGCTTCTCAAGTTCCAAGTGGTGCTTCATGTGATTCATAAACTTAACATTTTTTAGAACTTTCAAGCAGCTGAGGCATTTAAAGGTTGTGTGAGTCTTCTGTTCTGGGTGCCCATCTCCTTTATGCTGTCCATAGTAGAAGTCACTAAGTGACACAATAAGATTTCCTTTCTTGGGAGCAAAGGTCTTGCTCTGACTTGCTACACTCAAAAAATCTGTTTTTGCCAGTCCATTTTCCCTATTAAGATTTACAGGCTTGAAATGGACACTGTCCTTTGGAAAAGCTGTTGGAAAAGAGGCTCCATTCTGAACATGGCTTAATGAGGTATGAACATCACTTGAGGGTGTATTTTGCTGAGTATTCACTGTATGAAAGATATCTGAGGGGGACAAAGCTGGAGAATATCCCCCTATGATTCCATCACTGAGTTTAGGCTTTTTGGAATTTATGCTATTCACTTCAGAAGTGGAAAGTTGCTTTGATAAACAAGGACTTTCATTCATACCTCCTACTGAAAGTGCTGCTCTTACTGGATGATGCAATGAACTTTTGAATGTAACCAAAGGAGAACATAACTCTGAAGAGCTGTTAGGCACGACTTGTGGTGAATTGCTTTTATAATCAGGTTTAGACAAAGGCTCAATAATAATAGGACTATCTCTTGACCTCAATTCAGATTGAGAAGCTGGCAAGACAGTCACTGCTTCTGATGTATGACTTGCAGGCTGCGATTTGGGAGCATTATCTTTTCTACGGTGACGATACTTTTTTCTCCTTGAACATGAACCTGGGGTGACTCTGTTCAAAATGTTTGAAACAACTGGCTTTGAATTTGAGGTCACCCCAACAAAAATAAGCTCAGCATCTTCATTTACGTGTTCCACTCCAACAAAGATCAGTTCAGCATCTTCATCATCTACTTGTTTGGCTTCTTTTACATTCTTCTGTGGTTCTGGCTCTCTTTCTTCCTCACGTAACATTTGTGGTTGTTCCATTTTCTAACTTTTTTATTCTTGAAGGGTGTGACCACAAGTTCCAGTGCTTCCTTGATATAAACTGCCACCTAAGTACAAACACACTATTAGTAAGTACAAAAAAATGCACTATGTTATGTAATTCTCCTCCAAAACTCTAAGATAGTTATAAATATCCTTCTTTTACAGATAAAGACACTGGGACTCAAAGAGGATAAACGACAGCTTAAAACCTATGACACAAGATCAGGTCTCTGTGACTCCATAATTATTACTTTGCCCTATATTGATTATGATGTCTTCCATTTAAAAAAACAAAAACAAAAACAAAAAACCCTTCAGCAACTAATCCTAGGTGAAATCATATGGAAGGAAAGGAATTTTTACAAAGGCACCACTGTACAGTATTTAGAAGCGTGGGCTTTGGAGTTGGAGAAAATTAAGCTGGAATCCTCAGTCTGCCACACACCAGCTGCATCTTATTTAGTAAATATTTTATTTTAAATGATTTTCGGTTCCTTGAAGGCAAAAATTCTTATTTCTTAGACTTAAGGTAACAGCTATTTTTTAAAAGCATCAACTACTTAATGGCATCTTACTTTGTAGTAGAACTAAATTTATATTAAATGCACATGTCAATTGATTCATACATACTAATTTCATAAAATTTAATATAGAAAAGAGGTGTCAAATTTATAGAGTAAGAGTATCTAGCCAACAAATAGCATAGGGAGATGTCAAGTGCTTAACACATGCCAGGCAGACAAACTAGGAATGAACACTCTTGATAATCTCATTCTAACTCATGGCCTTAATTAAAATCCATTCACTGATCTCTCCTAAATTTCTCCCTCCAGTCCTGACTTCCCCACTGCACTTAAATACAACAGTGCTTCCTCCCTTAGCCCACCTCAATCTCTTCTCCACATGGCAGGCAGAGTGATTCTGTTAACAAGTCAAATCATATCACTAGTCAGTTCAAAATCCTCCAATGCTTTTTGATTCACTCAGAGTAAAAGGCTAAGTCCTTCCAATGCCTATAAGACCAAGCTTCCAACATCGCATGCTGCCTACCAGATATCTCATACTCCTCTCCCCAACCCACTTCACTCTAGCCACATAACCTCCTTGCTATTTTGGGGGGGGGGGGCAGCTGGCCAGTACAGAGATCAAACCCTAGACCTTGGTGTTACCAGCACCATACTCTAACCAACGGAGATCCCTCTTTGCTATTTCTTGAATGCATTAGACTCTTTACCTTGCTCAGGGCCCTTGTATATGATACTCCCTCTAATATGATTGCTCTTCATCCAGATACCTGTATGGCTGACTCCTCACCACCTTCCAAGTACTCTTCTCAGTGAGGTTCTCAAACATTCCGACCAACCTCTAACTCATACTCCCAATCTCTCTTCTCTTTTCTTTTCACTTTCAAGCCCTATTATAACTTTACTTATTTATCTTGATTATTTTCTACTGTCCATCCACTAGAACATAAACTCCAAAGGGCAAGGATTGCATCTTTTGTTGACTATTTCATCCCCATCACTAAGAACAGGGCCTGGCACAGCACAGGTACTCAACAAGTACAGAATTTGTTAAATGAATCAATAAAGAGTAGTATCTCAATAAGATCCTTTATTTGTAGAGCAGATTGTGCTCCACTGATTCCACATTTTCTACAAATTTACTCTGAGAACCTTGTCCAAGTTGGAAATTCTGTAGGCTAATAAAGGATTTAAAGCTGCTAGCTTTTTACAAACATTTTTGACCACACCCAATAGTAAAAAAAAAAGGTTATATGGAGTCCCACTATATAAGCACAAACACATATAATAATTGTCTTTACTACATAGAATGCATTCTAATATTTTCTATTTCATTTCTATGACCCATAAAATCAGTTAAGACTAATCAATCGGTCACTACTAGTGGTTTGAAAAACATTGGTCTAAAGCTAGCAAAATGTAGGTGCTTTAAACTATGGTTCATAACTCACCAATTTCTGAACATGTCAGGATTGACTGTAGCCAAATGTGGACCCCTCAAACCAACATAATCCAATGTATAAAAATTAAATTGGCATCCAATATGTGCCATGCTTGTTGCATTAACTTTAATTAGGATATCAGCATCAATTTTGGAACTATTCATAATATTTATTCCTGTAAATAGGTGCATCAACTTGGAAGTGAATTAAAAAAGAAATACAATATTAACCATAATAAAAATTATGTATCCTTTTCCTCACTTATTCCAAAACTGTATTTTGTTTGCCCAATGCCAGTTAGATACTGTGCTAAGCACTGAGTAAATAGACAGTAATGAATCGATGAAGCTTACACCTGGTGTGTCATGAATAGTGATTTACAAGTTCAAAACTAAGATCAAGTAGGTAATTAAATAAATCAAATAGATATGAAATGCCAGAAAAAATATGAGGCAGATTCGAATACATCTCTTTGGAGTTAACTGAAACTGGTTTGGTCTGTCTGTATAAGACTTCAAGACCTTAAGTCCAGGATGATGCCACCTAGCCCAGTGTTTCTCAACCTAACACTATTGACATTTTTTACCAGATAATTCTTTGTTGTGGGGTGCTGCTGGGTGCACTGCAGGATGTTTAGCAGCATCCCTAGCCTCTACCCTCTAGATGCCAGTTGCAATCCCCCAGTTGTGGCAACAAAAATGGCTCCAGGCATTACCAAATGTTCTGTGGGAGAACTGCCCAAATCTAACCTTCTTCTTAGGATCACTTCCACATTTCCAGTAACTACCTTCTGGGTAATTCTACACGTATGCCCTAACATCTTTTATAAAGAAAAAATTCTAAATCAGAATTATTAATATTTTCCCTGATATCATAAAAATCAGAAGATAATTTTACAACTAATATGGACATCAGATTTATATGAGGATGGATTTTTAAAGCCCCCAAAAGTTTATGATTTACCTAAAGTTATATGGAGGGTTTGTAGACAGAATTAGCACCAAAATGCATAACTTCTAAATTCTAGTTCTGTGTTCTTTCCACTAGAACTCTGACTTAACATATGCTTATTTCTGATAATGTTGCTATTAACTGCTTAGTCTCTAAGAATTAAAGTGTCTCGCTGGATTCATTTGTTTCCTCTCTCTTTTTTTTTTTCTACTTACTTAATAAGCATCTCCATCTATTTTTTAAAACCTGTTCAAACCTCCCCAACCTCCCATCAAATTAGTCATAGAACCTTATAAGTTCAAATTAGTCACAGAACCTTATAATTCTAAATAACTTTTAGAGCATTGCTAATTCTAACTACCTTTCATTTCCATTCCTATTAATGCCCCCCCACAGTCCCAACTTCTAGGTGTAGGTCTACTGGTTATCTCATGTTTGTACACTTGTACTAGATTCCAAATTGTTCTGTCTCTTCTCTCTGACCTTCAAATTATACAGCACACCACCACTAGATGGATCTTAAAAGACCACTAAGCTGTCCAGTTGGCTCAGTTGGTTAGAGCATAGTGCTAATAACACCAAGGTCCAGGGTTCAATCCCTGCACCGGCCCCAAAAAAAAAAAAAAAAAAAAAAAAAATTAAATGTTAAATAAAGAGAATACATTTTAGATTATGCTATGGACTGAACTATGTCTCCCACACACACACACAATTTTTTTTTTTTGTCCTTTTTGAGACTGGCCACACCGTGCTCAGCCAGTGAGTGCTGTGAGCGCACCGGTCATCCCTATATAGGATCCGAACCCGCGGCGGGAGCACTGCTGTGCTCCCAGCACCGCACTCTCCCGAGTACGCCACGGGCTTGCCCCCCCCCCAAATTTATATGCTGAAGCCATAAACCCCAATGTGATGATATTTGGAGATGGGGCCTTTAGGAGGTAATTATGTTTAGATGAGGTCTTGAAGGTGGGCCCTTATAAGAAGTAACACCAAAGACCTTGCTTTCTCTCTGTCTGTCTGCCATGTGAGGACACAGGAAGAAGCAATCCTCTACCAGCTAGGAAGAGAGCCTCACTAGGGAACCATATTGGCCAGCACCTTGATATTGGACTTCCCACTCTCCAAAACTGAGAAATAAGTTCGTGTGTGTGTGTGTGTGTGTGTGTGTGTGTGTGTGTGTGTATAAACAAACAAACAAACAAACTGGGTTCCAATAACACTGGACTTTCATCTAGCTGATCTTTGGCTGTTGTCTACATTGACCAACTCTCCAACCAACCATTCAAGATGAAAAAAGAAAAGTAGAGCAAGAACCAGGAATAAAGCTAATAAGCTAATGGATGAGTTCATTCAGAACAAGAGTTGCATTAGACCATAGAAGTTTTCTTATTAATTCTCTCTAGGTGTCCAGAGACCATTCTCCACAAATGTCCATCAATGAATGGATGGATAAATCCTTATTTTCCAATTTACCAGAATCTTCAAATATTGGGGTGGGGAGGTGCAAAAACCTACTAGATCTAAGAGATTTGTCCTCAAAACTCAATTCATACTCCCACTAAGGAAGCCGCTAAGGGCCATGGGAGGAGCCAATGGGAGGGTTCCATTCTCAGGGGCAGCTGAGAGGCTGATGGGTGATGACCTACCTTTCAGGTTATTCCTCTACATTCAAACAATGGCACTTCTAATGGGTCTTTGTTACAGCCACACACCAGCTGTTTTCAAGCATCAGTGCTTCTTGAGTAACTTCTGAGATTAGATCTTAGGCCACCAAGACTCCTCTGGTACCTATCTCCACCATCTTCCCTCGTGGATAAGTCTCTTCACCTCACTGCTGCTCCTCAAAACTCCTGCCTCACCCACCCTCTATCCACAGCACTCTTATCCCTCCCCTACCAAAAACTATGCAAATTTGCTGTCTTAGAATTTATTGCCCAGGCCGGCCTCGGGAGAGTGTGGTGTTGATAACACCAAGGCCCCGGGTTTGGATCCCATATAGGGATGGTTGGTTCACTCACTGGCTGAGCATGGTGCTGACAACACCAAGTCAAGGGTTAAGATCCCCTTACCGGTCATCTTTAAAAAAAAAAAAAAAGAATTTAATGGAGGAAATGGGAGCTACATAAGATCCTTAAAACTGCAGGAAACATTTGCATTCCATCCTAGGGCAACTAATAAAACAAAAAAATGTTTTTCATAAATATTTTAAAATAAGTATTTCTTCATAAATAAGCTTAGAATGGTAGAGGAGTATAGAATAGGGTTTAAACTAGCCTGGGAATGTAGGAGGGGTACAACTATTAAACCAAGGTTGTACCTTATCAAAAGACATTACAATTTCTATAGACTAGACTGAGAGAAAAATCAAGAATTTACAGTCCTCACCATTTCCACTCTTGTTACCTCCCTGACCTCTTTTCCCACTAGTCTAACCTTCATTCACTCCAATCCAGCCACAGTGGCTTCCTTGCTACTCCTTCAGGGTCTCCACCTGACACTGCTGTCCCCACGGCTAACATCTTCTTTAAGTACATATCCAAATTTATTTTCTCCATGAGACTTACCCTGACTACCCTATCTAAAACTACAATACTACTATCTCCCCAACTTCTAATCCTCTAACCCTGCTCTATTATTTTTTTCCTAATTCTATAATATCACCTTTCATTTCACCAGAGAATTTATGTATTTATTATGTTTACTATCTTCTTCCACTGGACTGTCAGTTTCTTCTGTTGCAGTAGTTTTGGGTTTTTTTGTTGTTGTTGTTCATTTTTTGTCTGCTTTGTTCACTGATCTCTCTCAAGTGCCTAGAGCTGTGCCTGGTACACAATAAGCACTCAAATATTCACTAAAGAAAAATCGTTATCTAGAAGGAGTTAGAAATAAATTCAATGAAAAAAACATGGACTGAGGGATGAGATAGGAAATGTTCAAACTTGGAAAAGAGCCAATTTTCTTCAAGTCTGGGAGCCACTGAGGTGTACTGTTATATAGCAAATGTGAGAACCCTGCAATCCTGGGGTTCAGAAGAAGAATGCCTATGGCCAGACCTCATCATGGGGACCAACAGTTTGGGGAAGCCTTTTCTCAGAACAGTATGGTTAGAATCCTGCATGGGATCTTTTCCCAAGCAACAGAATCAGCCATTTTCCCTTTTATTTTCCTTCTTCCAAAGAGAAGAATCTTGGTCAGAATAATCTACAAAGGAGATATGAGCAGGGTGGCAGTTCAATCTAAAAGTGGTCTGTTACTTCACGGCTAAGTTCTTTTTCTAAGGTTGAGTGTTTAGAAAGGGTTTGGAATTGTCAGGTGAGCGAAGAATGGTATAAAGAGGGGTTGTGGAAGACCATAAAAAAGACAACTGAAAAGAAAAACATGACAATTCCAGTTTGTTAAATGACTGGCAACAGAGTGAGGTCAGCAAGATTGGTGGGAAAAGGACCTATAAATAGCTGCTCTTTCATAAAAGCAAAGAGAACACAAGCAAAAACTGTAAAATCAAGTATTTCAGGTCCTGAATATTAACCAAAGACTTGCAAAATTTGGAGGATTTTTGTGTTAAATAGTTTGGTAGTTCCTCAAAAAGTTAAACATAGAATCATCACATGACCCCACAAGTCTACTTCTAAGTACGTACCCCAAAGAACTGAAAACAGGTACTCAAACAAGTATATGTACTCACTTATAGCAGTTATTCATAACAACCAAAAGGTAGAAACAACACAAATGTCCATCAATGGATGAATAGATAAAACAAATTATGATATATACACACAATGGAATATTATTATGCCATAAAAGGAATAAAGTACTGATACATGTTATAACATGGATGAACCCTGAAAACATGCAAAGTGAAAGAAGCCAGGCACAAAAGATCACATATTGTATGTTTCATTTATAGGAAATATACAGAATAGATAAAGCCACAAAGACTAAACAGAGATTGGTGGTTGCCAGGTGATGGGAAATGTGAAATAGAAGAGAAACTGCTTAATGGGTAAGGGGTTTTACTTTGGAATGATGGAAATGTATTGGAACTAGGTAGAGGTGGCAGATGTACAATATCATGAATGCACTAAATGTCACTGAATGTTCACTAATTTATCTTTTAAATGAAGAATATGTATTTCCTTTTTTTAAAATTTATTTTTTCATTGTACATGTTTATGGGGTACAGTTTGTTGTTTCAATATATGCATATATTGTATTATTATCTAATCATAATATTCAGTGTATCTATCACCTAAACACATTATCATTTCTTTGTGTTTATAACATTTAAGATCCTCTTTTCTGGCTATCTTGAAATACACAATACAATATTATTAGCTATTGTCACCTTATGCACCAGAACTTCTTCCTATCTAACTCTAACTTTGTAACTTTGTACCAGTGTATGAACCTTCCCCCCACCCACTCCCTCCTCCCTTTCCCTGCCTCTGATAACCACTATTCCACTATTTCTATGAACTGTTCAAACTGGCGATTTTATGTTATGTCACTTTCACTTCAATAAATTATTTTTTAAATAAATATGAATATTAGTTTACCACACAGAAATAATTACAAGGAAATACTATGAACAATTCTATACCAACAAATTAGATAACCTAGATGAAATTAACAAGTTCCTAAAAAGACACAAACTACTGACCTGACTCAAGAATAAAGAGAAAATATGAATAGATCCAAAACAAGTGAAGAGATTGAGTTGATAATCAAGACTTCCCCAAATAAAAGCCCAAGATCAGACGGCTACATTAGTGACATCTATCAAATGTTCAAAAAAATAATTAACACCAATCCTTCATAAACTCTTCCACAAATTACAAGAGGAGAGAAAACTTTGCAACTCATTCTATGAGGCCAGTAGCACTGATAAGAGAAAGGGTACTGATATAAACAAACTAACCCCATGTAACGAATACACATTTACCCTGAATGAGCCACTTAAATACATTTGCTGAAATCTTAGGGTAGTATGTGTCAATCTACTTAGAGTATCAATCTACTCTAGCCTCATAAAATGATAAAAGAAGTCAGCTTTACATAACTTAACATCTAACAGTATGGTGATCTTAGTTACTTTTTTTCCCTTCAAGGGATCAAGTGAAAGAATATCACCACCACCCTCTACCTTTTTAAGGAAGCAATTTAGAGGGCTCCAGAATTATCTAAATCAACAATTGGCCTCAATTTATCATACATATTCAGGTTCCCTCAGGAAACACTAAGTAATAATGTGTTAGCTCAGGAGAGAAGAAACAAAAACTGAAGTATAAAAGATAAAACCTTGCACCTTATTATAGAGACCTCTCTCCTCTTACCTCAAGCGTACACCGAAACTTTTATGAACTTGAGAAATTCCAGGCAGAAGGTCACATCCTTGAGGTAACCACAAAGAAGGATTAGGGTTACTTACGTGTCACAAGAATATTTTAGGACTGCCTACCTGACATTGCCATTTGGATGTTTATCAAGCATCTCACGCTTACCTAGTACACAGAATTGAACTCCTCTCCCCCAAATCTGCTCCTCCAATCTACTCTACCTCGCTAAAGAAAACACCTCACTGGCAAACTGCCCAAATCAGGGGGACTTCATTAGGGTCCAGGGGCTTCATTACAGTTCAGGCAGACACACAGTAAACAAGAGAAACAAACCATGCACTGCAGACAGGGAAGAAAGGCCAATAAATGAATTTTCAAATGCTTTAAACGCTTAAGGGGTCTGGATCTGAAGATCTCTAGAATAGGGACCGGGCAGGGTTTACAAAACTGGTTTGACTGTTAAACGCACTAACCGCCACAACGAACCTCCGCGGGGGGTGGGGGAGGGGAGGGCATGAGGAGCCACGACAAGACCTTCTCCAGGAGCCCACGGCTGGGGACGCCTCCCGAGAAGGAGGGGAGGCAGGCTGAAAGTGGCGCCTGCTGAGATTAGCGACGGGGGTGTGCGTACGGGGGTCCTGGGACCCGCTGGGGGCCGTCTCCCTGACACTCCTTTCAGAAGGCCGCGCCACTGGAAAGGCTGCTCGGGCAGCAGAGGGCCAGGCGCGGTGTCGCGGGACCTGCGGAACTGCGGCTGTGGAATCCCTCCCATCTCTCAGGAAATGCTCGAGCCGCGCCACTCCCCCCGTCCTCACCAGTCCCCGTCAGCAGCGGTCCCCGACATGCCGGCGACTTACCGGCCCCAGAGGCTCTCCTTCGGCGAAGCCCGCGGCGACAACGCCTCCTCAGGCCCCAGGCGCTGCAGACGCCGCCGTCGCCCTCGCACGCGCGCCCGTGCAACCTGTGATTGGCTGCCAGGTGCGGGCGCGCGATTGGCGCTATCGGATTGGCCGTGAGGCCCAGACGGGCTGGGCGCATGAGCGCGCTCTGGCGCCCCTGGTGGCGACCATTGGGTGCTGGGTCAGGCTGAGAGGGGAAAGGGCCCCTGCGATGCCCCTGAGCCCCTGGAAGGATCTTGGGCCTTGGGCCATCAAGGTTCCAGAGCCGGCTCTGGGCCTGGGTGGGCTCTCGGTCCATCAGGGCCTACGTTTGCTCACCAGGAGTCCAGCTGTCTTAATCCTCAAGTGTGGACCTTTTTCCATAAAAGCACTACCTGACTGCCCCATGCTTAAAGAACTTGACCAAGCAACTGAGACTTGACACACAACCTCTTGAAGTTGCATCTGGAGTCAATCCAATCCAACCTGCCACCTGTTTTTATACAGCTTGCAAGTGAGCTAAGAACAGGTTTTACATTTTTTTAATAGATGGAAAAAATCAAAAGTAGAATATTTTGTGACATGTGAAAATAATATGATATTCAAATTTTAGTGTCCAAAAGTAAAATTGTATTGGAACATAGACATGCCCATTCTTTTAGGTATTGTATATGTCTGTTATCCTGCTACAGTAGCAAAGTAGATTAACTGCCAGAGACCATATTCAAAAAGCCTAAAATAGGTACTGTCTGGCCCTTTAAAGGAATGTTTGCCCACTCTAGGTTTATTTGCAGCTTTAAAGAATTTTTTTACTTGATCAGTCCTGCCAGAAGTCTATTTAAGTAATCTTTTGAAGAAATAAAGATTAAAAGTTTTTGTTTTTTTTAATCTATGTTATTTTCATCTCTGTTTCATTTATTTCTTCCACTCTTCATTGTTTCCTTCCTTCCCATCTCTGTAGGGTTTGCTCTGTTGCTTCTCTTTATTAATTTTTGAGATAAATGCCTAGCTCATTTCTTTCTAAATTATCTTTTATTTATCTTGTATTTTTAACGCTGTAAATTTATCTCAAGTACCAGTTTTAACACCTTAAGTTCCCACAGTTTTTGCTCGGTAGTATGTTCCAAGTATGTCCTAATATTCCTAGTCATTCTCTTTTTTAACTCAAGAGTTATATACTAAAATATGTTATTTCTTTTCCAAGTCTATTTGTAAAGCTATTTCTTTATCAGTTTCTAATTTGATTGCATTACGATCAGATTACATAGTCTAAATATTATTGATCTCCTACATTTGAAGATTTATGTTCAGTGAAGTATCCCACACTTAAAATTAAGAGATTGTAGATATACAGAAAATATTTGCAAGTTGTAAAATGTATATATGACGGTACTTGAAAAAGCTTGGGGAATAATATAATTAAATGATAATACAAATCTTTCCATTAACTTTTTGAAGTACTCTTGTATGTGAAATGACTGCCTTTTGTTCTCACAATAATCTAATATCCATCAATAAGTTACGAATAACTAAACTCCAGGCCTTTCTTTTTTCTTTGCATTTCTTTTTTTTTTTTAATTTTATTTTATTTTGTCAATATACAATGTGGTTGATAATTGTGGCCAATTACCGAAACCTCACTCCCTCCTCTCTCTCCCCCCTCACTCCCAACAACCTCCTATCTGTTCACTTGTCCTATCAACTTCAAGGAATTGTAATTGTTGTGTCTTCTTCCCTCCCTCACCACCCCAGGTTATTTGTGCATTTATTTATTTATATTTAGCTCCCACAAATAAGTGAGAACGTGATGTTTCTCTCTCTCTGCATGACTCGTTGCACTTAATATAATTCTCTCTAGGTCCAACCACGTTGTTGCAAATGGCAGTATTTCATTCTTTTTTATAGCAGAGTAGTAGTCCATTGTGTAGATATTCCACATTTTCTGAATCCACTCATCTGATGATGGACATTTGGGATGGTTCCAACACTTAGCTATTGTAAACAGTGCTGCAATGAACATTGGAGACAGGTATACCTTCGACTTGATGATTTCCATTCCTCTGGGTATATTCCCAGCAGTGGGATAGCTGGGTCATATGGTAGATCTATCTGCAATTGTTTGAGGAACCTCCATACCATTTTCCATAGAGGCTGCACCATTTTGTAGTCCCACCAACAATGTATGAGAGTTCCTTTTTTTCCACAACCTCGCCAGCATTTATTATTCACAGTCTATCGGATATTAGGCATCCTAATTGGGGTGAGATGGTATCTCAGTGTGGTTTTGACTTGCATTTCCCCAATACTGAGTGATGTTGAGCATTTTTTCATGTGTCCGTTGGCCACTCGTATATCTTCCTTTGAGAAATACCTATTTAGCGGTTCTGCCCATTTTTTAATTGGGTTACTGGCTTTTTTCTTGTAAAGTTGTGTGAGTTCCTGGTATATTCTGGATATTAATCCTTTGTCAGATGTATATTTTGCAAATATTTTCTCCCACTCTGTTGGTTGTCTTTTAACTCTGTTAATTGTTTCCTTTGCTGTGCAGAAGCTTTTTAGTTTGATATAGTCCCATTTGTTTATTTTTCCTTTGGTTACCCATGCTTTGGGGGCTGTCTTCATGAAGTCTGTGTCCAGTCCTACTTTCTGAAGTGTTTCTCCTATGTTTTCTTTAATAAGTTTTATTATTTCAGGATGTATATTTAATTCTTTAATCCATTTTGAGTTGATTTTGGTATATGGTGAGAGACCTGGGTCTAGTTTCATTCTCCTGCATATGGATATCCAGTTATCCCAGCACCATTTGGTGAAGAGGCAATCTCTTCCCCAGTGTATAGGCTTGGTGCCTTTTGTAAAAGATCAGATGGCTGTACGTGTGTGGGTTGATTTCTGGATTCTCTATTGTATTCCATTGATCAGTTTGTCTGTTTTTATGCCAGTACCATGCTGTTTTGGTTATTATAGCTTTATAGTATAGTTTAAAGTCTGGTAGTATTATGCCTCCAGCTTTATTTATTTATTTATTTATTTATTTATTTATTTGTTAACTCTATTCCTATGTACTTTATTTTATTTATTTATTTATTTATTTTTTGCTCAGAATTGCTTTGGCTATGCGTGGTCTTTTGTTATTCCATAGAAATGTCTGGATAGTTTTTTCCATTTCTGAGAAAAATATCATTGGAATTTTGATGGGGATTGCATTGAATTTGTAGATGACTTTGGGTAGTATGGACATTTTCACAGTGTTGATTCTTCCAATCCAGGAGCATGGGATATCTTTCCATTTTCTTGTGTCATCTTTAATTTCTCTCAGCAGTGGTTTATAGTTCTCATTATAGAGATTGTACACATCCTTGGTTAACTCTATTCCTATGTACTTTATTTTATTTATTTATTTATTTATTTTTTGGTGGCTACTGTAAATGGGCAAGCTTTCTTGATTTCTCTTTCTACATGTTCATTATTAGAGAATAGAAATGCTACTGATTTTTTGTGTGTTGATTTTGTATCCTGTTACTTTGCTGAAATCATTTATCAACTCCAAGAGCTTTTTGTAGAGGCTTTAGGCTGTTGGATATATAGGATCATGTCATCTGCAAACAGGGACAGTTTGGCTTCATCTTTTCCAATCTGGATTCTCTCTATTTCCTTCTCTTCTCTGATTGCTCTGGCTAGTACTTCCAACACTATGTTGAATAGGAGTGGTGAGAGTGGTTATCCTTATCTAGTTCCTGTTCTTAAAGAAAAAGCTTTCAGTTTTTCCCCATTCAGGATGATATTGGCAGAGCGTTTATCATATATGGCTTTGTGTTGAAATACTTTTCATCTATACCTAACTTGTAGAGAGTCTTTATAAAGAATGAGTGTTCAATGTTATCAAATGCTTTTTCAGCATCTGTAGAGATGATCATATGCTCCTTCTGTTTGATTTTATTGATGTGGTGTATCACATTTATTGATTTGCGTATGTTGAACCAACCTTGCATCCCTGGGATGAATCCCACTTGATCATTGTGTATAATTTTGTGCATGTGTTGCTTAGTATTTTATTGAGGATTTTTGTGTCTATATTCATCAAGGATATTGGCCTGTAGTTTTCTTTTTTAGTTGTATCTTACCTGCTTTTGGTATCAGGGTGATGTTTCCTTCATAGAATGAGTTTAGGAGATTTGCCTCTGTTTCAATCTTTTGGAATAGTTTGTAGAGCATTGGTGTCAATTCCTCTTTGAATGTTTGGTAGAATTCTGCTGTGAATCCATCTGGTTCTGGGTTTTCTTTGTCGGGAACCCTCTGATAACAGCTTCAATCTCCTTTATTGTTATTGGCCTGTTCAGATTTTCTATGTCTTCTTGGCTCAGTTTTGGTAGCTTGTGTGTGTCCAGAAACTTATCCATTTCCTCCAGATTTTCAAATTTGTTGGCATATAGTTGTTTATAGTAGTCTCAAATGATTCCTTGTATTTCAGATGTATCAGTTGTAATATCACCTTTTTCATTTCTAATTTTATTTGGATCTTCTCTCTTCTTTTTTTAGTTAGCCATGCTAATGGTTTGTCAATTTTACTTATCTTTTCAAAAAGCCACCTTTTGATTCATTGATCTTTTGTATTGTTTTTTGGGTTTCAATTTCATTAAGTTCTGCTCTGTTCTTAATGATTTCTCTCTGTCTGCTAACTTTGGGTTTGGATTGTTTTTGTTTTTCTAGATCTTTAAGGTGCAGTGTTAGGTTGTTCACTTGCCATCTTCCCATTCTTCTGAAGTAAGCATTTAATGCGATAAATTTCCCCCTTAGTACTGCTTTTGCACTATCCCACAGGTTTTGGTATGATGTATCATTATTTTCATTAGTTTCAATAAATTTTTTGATTTCCTGTTTGATTTCTTCTTGGACCCATATGTCATTAAGTGGAATGCTGTTTAATTTCCATGTGTTTGTATAGTTTCCAGAGTTCCATTTGTTATTGATTTCTAATTTTAATTCATTGTGCTCTGAAAAAATACATGGGATAATTCCAATTTTTTTGAATTTGTTAAGAT